GTCCTGAGTGTGTGCAGGTGCCACTGAACTGACCGAGTGTTGCCAGGCTCATCGACGCCTCGGAGATGTGTTGAGCTGCCAGAAAGGTCTCCTCGAACAGCATGTTTCCGAGACCGGCTGGTCGGCCTGTGTCAGTTGTTGGGGATCTGGACGGGAGTATTGTGGAGAGAAGAGGTTTGCAGCTGGGATTCCGTCTGCTAAGGGCCGAGCTGAGCCCAGGCCTGCCATCCGGCCGAAGGGGAAGATGTATACTCAGGTCTGATTGGTGGATGGGCAGTTCTTGCCGCTTCTGGATGCAGAGGGAGTAAATGGGCCAACCAATCAGTGTCGTTAAGGATTCGCCAATCAGGGAGGTTATGGCCGAGGGCGAAACAAAGTTGCCGATTTTAAGGTTCTAAACACATGCTTTTGCAAGCTCTTGTGTGTGTGTCGTGTACTCGTATGTTGATGAGGCTATGAGGAGCGGGAATACGGGCAAGTTGCAGATGGGTCTGACGCCTTAGCGTCTAAAATGCATCGGCTATCTGCGGCAATCGCTCAACCGAAGCCTAATTGGTCCATTTCACATGCTTTTCCCACATGGGCGAAGACAGTTGATTTGCCCAATCTGCTAACAGAGCGATTTTGTCGCAATCTCTCCCTTCATACATCTTGAATAACCCCCTGGGTCAACCAAACTCAATCAAGAAGTGGCTTGACCTCGTTTTCGCAACTTGGTCTTGTTATCAGGGCGACTTAGTTGAACGCACTTTGTCCGAAGACTATAGTAGTTATCATAATTCCTAGCATCAGACCGTGGACTTGGTACACTTTATAAATCAAAAAGAGGCTGCGACCATACCGAGGGCCACACCATCTTGGTCTTCAGATCTTCGATCTAACTCAATCAAGAATAGGTGAAGTCCCACAATGAGAAGGGCAGTGAGCCACGTGATGCCATAGAACCTGCTTTATCGTACATTCGTCTGCACTTTCAACGTCGCCCAGGTCGCATCTAAACCCTAAATGGGATTCGCAATTGATGACTTGCAATCGTATTGAGAAGTTAATGGTGGCTTTTTGAAATTGAGTTACTACTAGGAAAGTGATCATCTCGTCGAAAAGGTAGATAGGACGACAACTGAGGAAGTGATGCTTCTTGCTTCGGTCGATGGGTATTGCTAACTTGTCTGAAGTGAGGCCGAAGCGCTTCTCATCAAAGCAGGACTGGCAAGCGTGCGAGTAAGGCCCTTTTGTATGTTCTATCATAAACAAGGAAAAACCCCTAAAAGCTTCCTTGGATATTTAAAGTCGTTGTTCCGTCCGAACGACACATTGTAGTCTAAGAGTTAGCATGAATCATCAAAAACTACGTTTAGTTCAGCATTTATTTAAAAAATAATACAAATTTAAATTCATTGATAATTTTTAAACAAGATCACAATTTTATACTAATATCTAAGTCAACTAATCTAAGGTTTCCCGTACAATACAAAGAAGTTGTGAAAACAAGATCACACAACTTTGATAAATCGAAAGGACACCGCGATCATGCAAAAGACCACACTATCTTGGTATTTATATTTTCAAAAATTATTTAAGCTTTTGGATATTAAGTCTAGCTTCAGGCATAATTTGAGTAGTATTCTCACTCCGGAGGACTTCCTAAAAATGTACAGAAGATAGCAGACAAATTATCGAAGAGGTTCTCGGTCTTGATAGAAAAAAGGCACCAGAAGAAGCCGAACTTCCAGTCTCACCAACACAGCATAAGGATTAGGAATAAGCTGATGGCAGGATGGTTTTTATGACGGAAAAACAAAAGAAACAGAGGAAAACCGATTTATATGTCTGCCCATCTTTGAAATAGCTTGGATGTCGCCATTATTGGAATGGAAAGAATGATCCTATTCAATAGCATACCCACATAACATGAAAAAGTCAACAAAATGACGTGCTCTGGAATTTACAGAATAAACTACAAGGACTGTAGATAACAGTACATCGGACAGACTGGAAAAACACTCAGCATCAGGATCAAAGAATACTAGCGACTATGGAGTAAAATAGATACATACAGATCGGAGATAGCTGAACACATTGCCTTGACCAGCCACACAATTGACTGAAGTGTAACGGAAATATTTAGGGAAAACACCAAAAACCAGAGGACCCGGAAGGCCGTGGAAATCCTTTTTAAAGAAACCTGATGAAAAGGAAATAGGAAGAAGTAAGAGTCGGCGGGCATTTCGCGTACTATCTGAGACAACATGGGAATTAGGCTAGGGCATCCAAAAGAAGAAGCTTGGACCAAAGTCATATATTCAACGTCTTGAATAAACATCGCCAAGGATAAGATTATGTGAGACAAAGGACACCCTAGTAAAGGGGATTTCAATGAGAGGAGTCAGACCTCGAATCCACCTGAAGCTACTGGTGTGGGTCCGTCTCCCTGTGAGATAGTAACTTGAAGGACAGAAATATACAAATTGTGCAAATTTATTGGACTATATTAAAGATTGAGGTCTATTTCAAATTCCTCGGGGTGTGGAAAACGAGCTGGGGAGCACAATAACACTTGGTAGTTAATGTGAGCGTGTGCATGCCTGTGTATCTGAGGTCAATATACACGTGCCTGACTAGGGAAGTTACCAACCAACGTACCCAAGCACAATTAACTAGCATCGTGAGATTGGGTGTAACTTTCACGTTGAGAGCCACGAGGAGTGGGCTTTATGTGATTCAGGAGTGGAGCAGGGAAGCGGTCCATCCTCGCACCAGCGGTTCCGATTCAATAATATGCAGGGCACCAAAGAATGAGATACAATGCGGGTGGGGATGAGGATAACTGAGTCATGGGTCTGGAGCCTAAGGAGAAGAAGATGCATAGATATGAGAAACACCGGTCTTAAATCCTCGAATATGACGTAAACGCGCCCGGAATTTAAGGCTCATATGGAGCCCGGTTTCAGACAGCAAGACAGTGATTTTCGTGTGTATGAGGAAACGACTATCAAGCGGGGTGTATGGGAGCCAAGTTAAAGTAGGAATTCCTGCAGAAAGCATCTGAAACCGATGTTGAAGATGATTATACTTCAGGAAATCCACTTATAGCGAAGCCCTCTTAAGTGACATTGGAGGAAATGAGGATACAGTATAGTGTAAATAGGTAACTGTCCATATGAAAAGGGGATGCAGTAATAAAAAGTGGGACAAAAAATAAGAGTGAGTTATGGAGAATAGCTGGGATTTAATGAATCGTTTAGTAGATTTCGTTTGTGAAGGCCGGTGGAAGTGATTCGTAGATTGACCTCACCGGATAACGAAAGAGTGTTGTCTTGGGCTTCTGTCTGTTGAATTGTATGAAGTAGATCTCGGCTCACCTTCCTACGACCTCGATGACTCCGTGCTGATGTTTCATCCATTATGTGACGGACATTGTCAGAGCCAGGAATCATGATTGACGAGCAAGCACAAAAAACACTAGATCAAGAAACGTGACCGGCTTTTATCTTTTACCTCATTTTGCGATCTTAATGAGGCATTCCATGATTTGTTTTTGACTAGGTTTTCGAGACTACAAGTTAATCAGACATATGAGTTGTGTTCACCCTAGTTCGTTTAAGATGATGAAGGAATGGTAATTGAATTTTCCCACAATGCTATGAGTAGAGCTGACTCTTCCACTGGATTTTACATTGCCTTGTTTTTTCAGGTGTTCCCATCCAGACAGAAGTGGACTGCAGTTTCGACCTCGTATAGGTCTTATCAACACCCCCAGCGTGAGTCGGACCATGGCAGGGCAGTGTGTAATCTCGACACCTTAACCACTACGCTACATTACCACGAGTGCCCTCGGGTCACAAAACAGATGTGAATATCAAGGAAGACCTGACAGATTCCCATAACATATACTAGGGTGGGATTGTCGATGAAACAAAGCGATATCAACTATACAAATCGACCTTAAACGAAAAAGGACGAAAACTTCCCATAAACCAACTTTTGTTCGAAGATATGAAGACCAAGATCGTGTGGCCCTCAGTATGGTCGCAGGCTCCTTTCGATACATAGAAGTGATTTGACATCGTTTTCACAACCTGGCCTTGCTGTCGTGGAGAATTAGTCTGACTCACCTTGTCCGAAATTATCTGCCATAGCAGTTATCATAATTCCCAGCGTCAGACCGTGGACTTGGTATATTCTGAGGCATTTCACCGGCATCGTAGTCAGCATTATCAATGAGTCCTGCCATTCAGCACCAAGATACAACTCGGCCAACATTCTGCCGAAACGGTTGCACTGTCACTCTTCTCTTTGTCCAGGCCTATCTATTTATTCCTTACCCTCTTATCCCACTCCTGCCCAATCACAATTTCTGACTTGTATGCATTCCACTCGTCTAAAGGTGTGACCTTTTTGGCAAGTTTAGTGTGGACTTATCATATCTGCTGTTAACCTTGGCCCCCTCTCTTTCGATCGGCTAATCGAACTCTGGCCTCTTATCCGGATCTCCCTCATGGTCCCTTAGATCAGTTTCTTATCTTTCTGATTGACCGCTTTCACTCGGTTCCTGTCCCAGTTTGCGTTTTACTCCAGGCGCTATTTCTCAAGGCCCTAGAAACATGTACACTGTCGCCTCACCAAGCAGAGGGCTTAGGCTCTGATTCCCATGCTTGTAGACATTTGGAATTGCATACACGAGTCGTATCCTTTATTAAACCCGTGTTACCTGACAAGCTTTAGACTCAGATGCCTAGTCGCCTGCTGCATCTAGAGTGGATTTCTAGTACATTTTGGCCATAATGCCGAATTTCTGTGACGATTGTGCTTATCCGTCGCCCTTGTTTGGTAACCGCCATGCCCCCAGAGTTGTACTGGTTTCTTCGAAAAGACTTCTCTCATTAAGCACGTCTTGGCTTGAGCATGATTATCCAAAGTCTACGTTTAATGGGTGTGGAATTTTGGGACGAGGAGTTTGACAAATTAACTAGGATATGCCTCGGCAACAGCGAAGCAATACAAATAGATGTACGGGCCGTGAAAAGCTGATGGCAGAACGGGGACTATGAAAGAACAGTAAGGACGGAGAAGGATTCATAAAAGTGGATATGCATACATTCCTGCGAACTAACTCAAAAACTACGGCCAATATTAAGTAAATGGAATATTCGGGTGGCCAAAACAGAAAAAACAAGACTTTCCACAAGTCCACTGACTCAACATGAAAGGGAGAAAAATTGGATTGTTCAGGGGTTTACTCTATATCATGAGGCGCCTGTGAACAGAAATATATTGGCAAAACATAGAGAAAAATTAGCATGCGAATCAATGAACATCAAAGGCTCTGCAGGAAAATGGATACCAAAAGATCAGAATTAGGGGAAAACATCGCACAGACTGGACACGAGATCAATTGGATCCGTTTGGCTCTAATACGAAATTCAGGTTAACGTAATCCACGATACATCATTTCTCAATTCATGTGAAAGCGAGCTGAGCTTTCGTTCGTCATATGAGGAACATCATCAGAGCCTTGACTCATTCTTAAAAAAGTCTCAAGTTAACATTAAGTCAGGAAGGCTGCCCGGCTTTTTCCTTCTTGAAATATATTCTTAATGGAAAATCTTTTTAGATTAAGATGGATATATAAATGTTTGGTTACTTCTTTTTCACTCGAGGCTATGTGTGTGGGTGTGTGCGTATCATTGTGTATATGTGTTAGGGTCATTGCGAAAATCGATAATAATTCAGAGTGATTTTAAATAAAGCTTACGTAAATCCCGGGTCATCAAGGCTTAATAACCCAATGAAAAAGCATTGTATATTCCGCAAGTTACTATGTTCGAATCGATGAGCTGTAAGCCTGTACGTGTGAAAGTCAGGTTACGAAATCATCAGTCAGAAATCGTTGATATGGGGGAAAAACAGGTTTAATGAACCGTATCTTTTTTGGTATTGAGTTTGACATAACAGTTGAGCTAGTGTGAATTTAATTGGAGCCATCACTCAGCTGACAAGTTGAGGACAGTGGCTCAACACCCTATTGTACGAATCGAGGAAGGATGCCTAGTGGACTGCGCCAACCTGAATGTCGTAGTAGAGTCAAACGGAAAAAGTGTTTACTGGGATTGGAAGGAAAAGTAAGTAATGTGATATCAAATAAGCCCGTATAAAGCCTAATCCTCCATCTCTATTGACCTGGATATTCTAATTGGAGTCACAGGTCACGATTCTATGAAACATGTCCTTGAGGTTAAATATGTATGGCATATCAGAAAATGTTATCAGAAATGTTGATGGTCTGTGAACTATAAGGGAGGAAGCAAAGTAGGAAAAACAAGAGTAAGAAGATTACTGTGAGCGATGAGAAATTAGGGATATCAGGAATGTTGAGTTAAAAACTCAGATTATACACTGTGTGGCATAAGGTAGTAAGAATTGATTAGAGTCAATTTCAAAGATAAGATAAGAATGGACGTAATATAACTGGGACCTGGTCTAATAACAGATAAAAAAATTAAACAAATAATTCCCACTAGAATAGAGAAATGTACCAATCTGATCTTGAATCTTGATGAATTTGTAACTTCGGCTGATAAGCATCGTGCCATTTGATATAAGATTATTGAACAACATAATAGGTATCCTAATTTTATAGCATGACTTTCCATTTCAAAGAGAAAGTTGGTTGGAAGGAATTCGTGATGTGGTCTCATCGGAAACCGGAGGAGGATTGTCGCGTAAGGAAGAATGTTGAATTGTGCGAAGAAGCCCTCGTCCCACCGTCCTGCGACCCCGATACAACTGTTCTAAGCTTTCGTCTGTACTTTGACAGACATCATTAGAGCAAGGTTCCTTACTTTACGAAATAGAGCAATAATTTATTAAAAAAAGAGAAAATGGGGGCTGGCTGCAACCCTAGTCGCTTTTTATACATACAACATCGTGATCTTAATGAGACCTTCCATGAGTTGGTTGGCTACTTCAACCTTACTCTACCTGCCTGCGAATGAGCGAAGTTAATTTCCCTAACCGGAAATTCGTTCGATGGCAGCTGCTTCCTTACACAAATAAACCAATGTACAATCCTTTAATGTTGAATCATGTTTGGGCTTGCGCTATTGTTTATCGTGTGTATGTAATGTTCATGTCATGGATAGTATACTAGTCTTAGCTAGACACGAGGCTAATCCAGCCTCCTTCTCTTGCTCAGTGGCTCTTCCTACAACCCTCTCTCTCCTTTACTTAAGTTCATCAAACAGCCACAAAATGTTCGTGCTTAGTTTTCTACGCTCGTTCCTTCTATCCAGGATGCTGGCTGTTTTGTTAATTTATATTGACTACCTAATCTTACGCTTTGACGTCAAGTCTCCGTAACCCACGAAACGTTGTGTTTTGGACAAGTATATCAGGTAAACTATCTGTTCCACTCTGGAGTTTCAAGAAGTCTTTCGAACTAAGTGCATCGGACAACATTTGCCTAAGTCTTGTCTTAGTTCGGATTAATAAATGTACCTTTGCAATGTTTTCCTTAAGTCTAACATCGTAGAATTCAGCAGTCTTCTTGACGCGGCAATGCTTCTTTGAATTCGGGTAAGACCACAGCACAAGTTTCTTCCAACTAATTTTCCATTCGAAATGGAGAGTCATACCAAAATATTTCATTAAGCAATTCTTCGAAACCAAGTTTTTATTCATATCTTCGAACCAAGAAATTGTTTGCCAGGCAAGTAACTCTCATTCACTTTTGGAAGTTTGCTATATCCGTAGAATTATACCTAAATTGTGTATCATTTCTAGACCAAATTTACTTTGTAAGACTAAGACCGATATTTTGGACTTTACCAGGATTTGGTTAATATTAGACTTAAGGAAAACATTGCGAAGTTACATTCCTTAATCAGAACTAAGACTAGACTTATGCATATGTTGTCCGATGTTCTTAGTTCGGAAGACTTCCTAAAACTGCAGAGCATAGCGGAGTGCTTACATGATAAGATTTTCCGACATGTTAGGAAGACGCATGATAAGAAATTAAGAAATTTGTGTGCAAAAATTATCTCAAGGAAACAACCCACATCTAATGAATGGAATTGTAAAAATATTCGCTGCCAAAAAGTGGCAGATTTGTTCAAATTTTCACTGAGAAGGTCCTAGCAAAGGGCTTGAACTTGGCCTTCCAGAAGGTAAGGATTTCAAAGAGGAAATTTTAATAGAATTGAAAAGAGGATACTAGTAACGACAGTGAACTACAAGTTGTCCCTTTAGTTGATGGTTGTGTATAAAAACCATATAGGGACATGCAGTTAAGACTATTATAAGGAAGCTTAAAGAGAACGGGCAACTAGAATTAAGGACAGACAAAGAAGGAGCAGTAGTAATTATGGATAAGACTCATTATGTAGAGAAAATGCTAGACATTAGATGATGATACAACATATACTATACATAGACT